ACTGTGGAAATCAGTATGGAGATACCTCAAAGAACTAGGATTAGAGGTCCCATTTGACCCAATTAATCCCCTGCTGGGTATATTCCCAAAAGAATCATACCATAGTGATATATGTGCACCCACGTTCATAGCAGCACAGTTTGTAATAGCTAAAACTTGGAAACCTCCCAATTGCCCATCAACTGGAAACTGGATAAAGAAGATGTGTTGTTTTTTGTATAAAATGGAGTACAACTCAGCCATAAAGAATGAGAAACTAGAGACATTTATAGCTAAGTGGTTGCACATTGAGGCCATATTCTTAAGTGAAATAAATAGGACACGTGTAAATACTGAATAGTTTCTCTAGGGTGAAAAACTAAAAGTGTAAATAAGGATCAAAATGTATAATTGATATCGTGAAACAGGAGGAAAAGGTCTAAAGGAGTAGGGGAAGTGGAAGGGGTAGGGGAGAGGAAAGAAGGGAAAAGGAAAAATATGAGAAAAGGAAAAAAATGGAAACGAAGTCTTTGTAAATAGGGAAGGGTGGAGGGGGTGAAGGGAGGGCAGCGGAAGGGGGAAAAAATAAGAACCAAGATACACCATGTAAAGGGTACAAGATTCCAGTGATGAATGTAACTGTATTGTATACCTAAAATGTACCAATAAACTTAATGAAAAACAATCAAAACAGACCAAAACAAGTGCTAACGTTTCATGCAGTTCCATGTGCGGTTTTTTTGCTTTTGTTGTTAGGAATATACTATCTCATGATTAAATGTAATAACATTGCTGTATAATAGATCTCTTAAACCAAGACGTCTTTAGAAGCAAGTTGTTTGGTATGAAAATCACCTTATAAAAGTGACAGAGATAGTTGGTATATCAGATGTGTACATCAAAACCTAGGATCAGAGCTGTTGCTGCACTTTGAATTTTAACACTATTAGAAAATTATATTTTATTAAAATTTTAAAAGGTATCCGAATCAAATATTTGTGCCTTCTACATGAGATCTTTTGCTTTTTAATATATATTGAACATTCAGTTCAAGACTTTCTGAAAGGATAATGTAAAACTGAGTAAAAACCAAAACTATGTAAGACTACAGACACCTTAAAAACAGTAGTGTTTCTATTTTTTTCTATTTTTTATTTATTAATTTCCATTCCAGAAATATCCTGAGAGGAACCCACAAGAAGAAAGACCTAAGTTATATTTGTTCCCTTTCTTCTGTCTTTAAAAACTGAGTAACACAGACCAGATCTAGGAAGTAAAAAGAAGCATGTACAAAGCCAAGGCATACTGACATAGTTTCCATTGCTTAAGAACAAAAAGCTGATCATTGGTACAATAATTCCAACTAGCTTAAAAAATAATTTAAATTAAAAAGATATGTAAGTGTCTTACAGAAGTTAGTAACAGACATGTACCTTGTCATTCAAAAGTTAATTTGAACTACAGAACCAGAGAAACATATTGTTCTTTAACCCATATTGCGAAATAACTTCTCTTGATGTTTTTCAGCTTTCTCTTTCAAGTTCATGTGTTGGAAAAAGGCTACCATCTTTGATCTCAAGTTTATATCTCCCCAGCTAACTGGAATCCATTTTGGCTAGAGAAGGACTCTGGTATAGGTATGAGATCATGACCCAAGTTGAGTAAATTCATCAGGGGTCAGAGGAAGGAGTCATATAATTAAAAATTCATTTATATAATCCCATGAAAGGAGGAACAATTTGCAAAAATCAGGCAGGTTTGGGGGAAGGATGTCAAATAGTTGTTTTCTTAGCAAAAGGATGGGTAGGATATTACATTAGAAAAATGGGTAAAGAACTAAAGAAAGAAAAATTCCAAATCTGTATTTTCTGCCCAAACTTTTATCTGATCTATATACTAATATGATTGAAATAAAACCAGAATTTCATTTCCATTCTTGCTAAAAATGTAAAGTTATACAAAGATACTCTGCACAGCCTCACCTTATAATGCTTATAGTGCTAGACAAATCAACCCAGTTCCATAGATTTCTAAAGTTCATTTGCAGTTGACTGAAAAGCTCAAGGTTGAAACAGTTTTGTTTTTATACACTCTAAATGGAGTGGTCAAAGAGACAATACATCAGCAAAGTCCATATTCTTTCTCGTATGTGTTTGGTTCGCAGGCCATAGATGACGGGGTTTAAAGTGGGAGGAATAATCAGGTACAAGTCAGCTAACAGCACTTGGGTGTGCAAGGGCACTGTGTCCTGCCCTAGCCAGTCTACATACATGGATACCATTCCAGGTAGATAGTATAGGGCCATGACACCCACATGGGAGCCACATGTGCTTAATGCCTTCCTCCGAGCATTCTTTGAGGAAAGATTGAACACTGCCCTGAGAATCAAGACATAGGAGGCAGCAATGAAGGCCACATCAGAGCCCACAATAATGGAGGAACCAATTACACTGTAGAGACTGCTGGGCATGGCATCAGCACATGCCAACTTGGCCACAGCCATGTGCTCACAGTAAGAATGGGGAACCACATTGGAGCCACAGAATGGTAGATGACTCAGTATCCAACTCAATGGAGACATGAACACAACAGCCCTGAATGCAATGGTCACACTCATTCTCAGCATCACTTTAGGTGTGAGAATTCTCTTGTAATGTAGGGGCTTGCAGATGGCTACATAGCGGTCAAAAGCCATGGCCAGCAGCAGCCCTGTCTCCACAGCTGTGGCTGCATGGACAAAATACATTTGAGTGAAGCAAGAGTTAAAGCTGATGGAGCCATCTCCTGAGCAGAAGATGCTCACCATCTTGGGTACCACAGAGGAAGCCATAACAATGTCCACGGCAGCCAGAATACACAGGAAG